CCATAAGGTGACAGCGCATTCTTCTTGATCAGCTGTTGATTAGCTTTATTGAAAGTATCTTTTTTGATGCTTCTTCTGAGGCAATTTCCTACGATTCTGGTGAAAATGTGGTAAGTTTTCGTCCGTCATAACACAGACCTCTTTATAACAGGATACCATCTTTACGATCATATTCAAGCTAACGAATCAAGAAAACTCACTGGCTCATCTCTAAATGCCGTATATATACCCTAGTTCTATGCTATTCGATATTGTATAAAGTGATTTTGCTCGTTCAAGTTCATATCAACTTTTGACAAATGTGGATATGCCTTTCTCTGTGTTCACTTTTCTTGTTTAAGAAATCTGAATATGATTTTAAGAAGGATGTCTGGCATACGATTGTCGAAAGCTTAGCATGACTTTACCGAAATCAGCAAAAATGACCTTAGAATCAGAGTCAGCAATCATGTTCCCGTGAAGGTAATCAAAAACTGATTAGAAGGAATCCACCGTCGTCTTCTGGTGGGATCCACTTCCGAATCTCTTCACCAAACACTTTTACTCAAAATGGAAATAGTCTTAACAATTGTGAAACAAGACATTACCCGGAGCCCTAATTTTTTTTTCATATACCATACTATATGATTGATATCCTCAAACACATGAAAGCATATAGACACACAAACCATACGCACACATGCATACACATTCTTCTAGGTTGGCACATAACTTCAACTAACCAACTCACTTTATACTCTTTAAAAGAGCATATATAATATACACAATTCGGGGATGAGCTTGAATATGGTTGTAAGAATGATGCAATCAAAACTTCGAATATGTACCCTAAACACTTTTACTCGAAGAGTGTTTATGATCGTGCAAACCTGCCTCAATTTGGGCATACTCCGGATCGAGAGCCTTGCCATGTCGGTAGAACCGGACAACCGGAGCATGGTCGTTCACGTTGATCACCTCGACCAACATGCGCACACTGGCCGACATCGGTGGCGTGCCATAGTCGATGGCAACGACGTCAAAAGTGAACCGAGCATTCGGAAGACGCTCGTAGTCCAGCGGCTGGTTGACACGTACAGCAACTCCGGCCGTAGCTGAGCTGACCTCCACCGTTCCAGCTCCTCCGGCAACGCCGCCTCCACCGCCAAGTCCAGTCGAGGTCAGGTAAATGTGCTTCCTCAAGAAGTCCTCGCCAGGTCGGTAGAAGCCGGTGTCGTCTCTCAGACCTTTGGGCCGGCCAGGACCGGCGGGTCGAATGAAGAATCGCAATCGGGCGTTGTCGCCGGTGTCCGAGTCGTTGACAGCCAGTTTGGCGAGTAGGGCTCCGGCCTCGTTCTCGCGCACTTGCACACTCCGCTCGGACACCTCGAATCTGGGAGGATTGTCGTTGACATCGTTTATCTGAGACAACATGCCGACAAAAGCAAAAGTGGACAGATGATAATCCTGTAGGAATGACAGTACAGAGAGTACTTGGAGATGTCTTTAATACTCTTACTTTTACATATTTGTCAATAAAGTCAGTCCACGTTGGGCAACTAATATCATCATATAAAGCCCATAAAAAGTGCCTAAACAAAAATAATAATTTAAATCTTGCTTTCAATAAGAATAACCGAAGCATTTTATATTTATTATATCTGGTAAATGACCTATGTTGCCGCACCTTATGCTGGGATATAATAAATACAACGTGATCACAACATATTCTCGCATAAAAGCACAAAAATATCCAACAATTCGGCCATAAGGCAGCCATAAATACGATTGAACTTTCATATAATTTCACTTTTAAGGACATCTTAAAATAACCATAAATCAATGTTTAAACATTTGTTTAAGACCTAAAAGTTGCATAACGATGAATATCAAATTTAATCCATACCAAATCGTGTAATAATTCTTGATTGAAAACTTAGTCGTCATTCATAACTTGGGATAATGCAGGTATTGATAGTCGAGTTTTGCCCACAATGAAACAAGCGAGTCTCGAAATATACTCACATCGAATGTGAGTAACTTAGCCAATTGTAATAGTAACTGTATATATTCATTGTTTAAATTATATATTTAGAAACTATCAGTAAATCTTA